TTCCTGTAAATTTTAAATTAGAAATATGCTAAACATTCAAAAATTTTAAATAGAAGTCACCTTATGAAGCAATTACATTTCTGTGATATTCTTCTGAAATTCTGATTCTAATAAAGCATTTAAAATTTTAGAACAAAATTAAAAACTCGTTACATTGAGCAATTCATTATATTTTCTAGGGTCCTGTTAAATCCTCGAATTTTCACTTATGTCTTATATATCTGAAATGGTCTTGGAAAATTTCAAAATAATAATAAGAATAAATATCTCTTCCTTTACTCCTTAACTTTAAAAAAAGAATATTTTCAAAAGAAACAGCATTGAATGCTTATGGCATTATCATGCTTAAGGTGTATCAAATTACTTAGACTGAGATTCTATATGATATCTTTACTAAAATGAACTTGCACTAAAAAAAAATCTTTGTTTCAGCTCCATTTAGATAATGGGTTGTTGACAAATAATAAAGGAGCTGTAGCCATACGAGGAAATGTGTCAATGGACGGTAAGAAAAAAAAGTCGTTAAAAATTCATCACTCACTTGAAGTTAAGTTTGAAAATTAAACTTTTAGGCTAAAAGCTGAAAATTGAAGGCTTAATTAAGCTGATTTTCCTAGGTTCATGACCAATTTTAATTTCGCCTCTTATGCTAAAAGTTCATCACTTGCTTAAACAGTTTAAAATACAAAAACTTTCTTTTTTTTTCAATAGTATTATAAACTCATGTTTGTGAGAATTGCAACACCATGAAGGAATCGTCATAATTAAATGAAATTTGATACACAGTTGAGTGGTAGTGGTACAAATAAATGATTAAACTTTCAAAGCAAACAAACAATAACAAGAGATCAAAATCAGTATTTTGTGTAGCCACCACGCGCCGCAATAAGTGCTACTACGCGACGTGGCATGGACTCAAGCAAATTTTGAATGTCTGTCTGAGGAAGAGCATTCCTTATTGTTTGTATGCCTACCCAAAGTTCGTCTGCAGAAGCAACAGGACGAGGATCACGAGCGAGACGCCGACCAACGAAATCCCACTCAAGTTCAATCGGCGGCATATCCGGGGAATACGCAGGTCAAGGAAGAAGTTGTATCTGTCGCGATGCAAAGAAGGATTGAACAGTCCTAGCAATATGAGGGCGGGCATTGTTCTGTTGAAATACAGTTCCTGGCAAGGCTTGAAGGAAGGGAACAGTAAGGGGCTGTAGAACTTCACTGATGTACCGGTTGCTGTTCAGATTACCCAGAATTCGTAGCAATTGAGATCGTCCATGATATGCTATGGCACCCCAGACCATAACTCTGGGTGTTCGTCCACTGTGGCGTTCACCGGCATAGCATTTGACACGAATGCGGCCATCATGGTACCACGAATTAAAGCGGGATTTGTCAAAAAACACGACACGCAGCCATTCAGCACGCCAGTCCCTATGCTGGTTAGCCCATTGCAGCCGCAGACAGCGATGGTTTAGCCTGAGGGGGATCTGTAGTCCTGATCCTTGCACGCAGTGCATGCTGCAGCAGACGTCTACGAATTGATGAAGCACACAATGAGGGAGCCGTACGGTTCGTCTGCTGCGCCATGCTGACCAGGTGTCTATCATCGCGAGCTGACGTGACATTTCGGAGTCCACTCCTGGATTTCCGAGTTGTCTGACACTCGTCCGTCCACTGCTTCCAAACACGCTTCACTGTGCTGCTGACGAGCGGCTACTGCACGATAAGACAACCCAGCTTCACGAAGGTCGATGATTCTCCTCCGTTCAAACTCCGTAAGTTGTTGAAATCTCGCTCTGTTTCGTCGAAGAGGCAGGCATAAGTAACGACTAAGCTAACGTTTACCACAAGCAGATAACCAGTGATAACCATACACGCCTCGCTACAGCCGTCTATTTATTCGGATCCATCAGCCGTTCAGAGGGTGCTGCTCAGCATACGCATGCGCTACGGATCTGAAACTTTAATTATTTGCATATCATGCTCTACTTTGCATGTCCTGAAAATTTGATCTCACTCGCATAAGTCTTTCATGGTGTTGCAATTTTCACAAACATGAGTTTATTATTATTACTTAAAGAAAGACTGTTTTTCAAAATTGTCATCCGACTTCTTGAATAATCTAGTGCATAGTTTCATTCAATGTGACATCTCAATTCTTCTTTTATAAATATTTCAGGTAATTTTGCAAGAGAAGTGATTATAACAAAAAATATTAAAGTTGTGAAAACTAGTAATATTTGATTCCTGATTTCAAAAAATTTAGGCAGTATTCGTGTTAGATCTGGTTGGACTGTTGTTTCTGATATAAGTTATTTTTAATGAATGAAATGCTTTTCTAAATAAATTGTTTTTGGTACCAAACATTTTGTGATTTAAAAAAGAAAAAGATAATAACAATTTTAAAAAAATGCTTACAAGCAGTGAAATTTGTATCCTAAACAGTGCTAATTAAGTGAAAAATAAGTCATCATTTCAATGGATTAAATTCGATCAACAGATTAATTTTGAGAATAAAGACAAAAACATTTTTTCCGTCGACTGTCAAAGGAGCAGAAATTTTTTCTATTAGTCAAAAAGTAGCTTTCTGAGACCCACCCGAACTTTCGGCTAAAATCGTGAATTTTTTTACTTAATGTGTAGTTGAAAAGGAAGTTAACACATAAATTCGCAACATCATATTTAAAAAATTCAATTAATTAAATGTATTTATATTTTCGTTAACTATTCGAGTTTCAATCACACAGAAAATGTTAAATCCGTTTTACATACCATAGGAACATTTTTATCATTTGTTTCGACACATATTGATCTTTTATGATCAATATGTGAAGACAAAAATTTCAAGCATTCAATTGTCGTAAAACAGTTCAAAAGATTACCTATTAAATCGAATTTCTCACTTTTCTTATAGTTTTTCACTGTTAGTAAAATATCGAACAAGGGTAAATCCAATTGTATTTTTACATAAATAATCGCTTTGTTAAAAAATACAAACAGGAAAAGTCATGAAACATTATTTTTCAATTTATTAAATTGTATTAAATTTTCTCCATTATATTGAAGGCTCGGGCTTAAGAGATCATTGGGTCGGATTACCGATAAAGGTAAAGAAATTTAAATATTTCAATCCATTAATATTTGATTCTGTTCTCAAAATTTAGAGCCGATTTTACAATTTATCGTGAAAGCGGTAAATTATTCGACTCAAAAAGTAAACAATATTCTAATAATAAATAAAAATACAAATATTTTATTCAGCTTTGAAATTTTCTCTCACATAAATTAAGTTCATTCTTATAAACTTTAAACTAAATAAACTCATAAAAACTATAAAATGTTCACGACCCATTTAATTATTTTAATAATAATCAAATTTAATAATGAATGATTTGAATGTGATAAATTTTTACATAAGTATAAATTTTAAAAAATCACCTTTTTTTCAGCTTAATTTTTATTGGTATTTCTACTTAAAACTATAATTGTATTTATTAAAATTAAAATCATAATTTTTCCTATAGATAATTTCCTTCATATCCAATGATTATACTACTATTTTTTAAATTGATTTATAACAAGGTAGCTTTACCTAAACTCAAACATTACCTAAAATCAAATTTAAAGAAGTTTTGTAGTTCGAAAATCTAGTGAAATTTATTAAACGTAAAATTTTTTATCGTCAAATCAGATGAACTCTTTACAATCAATGTATAGTAACGTCTAACTCATTGTAAAAGACATGAGTTTTAATTAACTCTTAACAGCTTTAAATGAATTTACTAGATAATAGAATTTACTACATTGAAGAGTAAACTTTCAAATTTTATTCTAGATATGAAACCAGATGAAGTGAAAACTATGCTTCAACAATACATGAATGACAACGAATCATTAAGGTGAGATTTTCTTTCGATTTAAAAAGTTTACATTTGATTTAGTTCGAGAAGAGCAACTCACTTTAAAACAAATATTAGTAAGTTTTTTTTAATATTGTTCAGAGGGATACTAAATTTGTTTGAGGTTCAGCTCAAAGTTAAAACGACAAATCGCGATAAACAGCGTGCAAATTTTGAACATTACATCCTGAATAACTTTTGATCTAATAATCAAAATTTTACGTTCTAAGATGCATTCTTTATAGTTTAAAACTATATACATTATAGTTTAATAGTTTTGGAAAATATGGTTTCGATAATTTTGTCGAAATCCCTGTAAAAGTATGTCTACTTGATAGCAGTGGGAGGAAAACACTGCATTTTCTTCGCAGTTAACTACAGCTACAACTAATTTATTACAATTGTAGTACAGCTACAACTATCTTTCAATCTTAAATTGTAACTACAACTATCTTTTTAATGTAGCTACTACAAACTATATTCGAAATGTAGTCACTACATTGCTACTTTTTTAAAAGACAAACTTAACTGGCGAATTTAATTTTCACCAATATTCAAAATGATTTTGAATAAAAAATTGGCTTGATCAAATGGGAGGAGTTGTTAAGAAGTTTTAATGTTTACGTGAAATAGTTTTTTTAATCCTAAGCCACTTTTTAATGACTTGTTCTTTAAACTTACAAACTCTATGCTTTTCTTGACAGTGATTTAAGAAGTGCTAGGAAATTATCAAATATTTGTGATTTAGTGATCAATTCTTTTCTTATATCCTTCAAGAAATACAGTACAGCTCGAAAAACAAAAAACGGACCACCCCGATTAACTTTCGATCTAATGATCGAATCCTCACGTTCTAGGACTCAATTTTAATGATTTGAAGGGGTGACCGCAAATGGGCTAATTAGTTAATACAGACGATATTTCTAATTACGAAATCAGACTCAACGTATTTTATAGTGCCTGTGAAATAGAATTTTAAAAAAGTCAGATATTTAAAATTCTATTTCTGAGGAGCAACCCTACCGAATTCGCACCGATTTTTCCGAGCATCAGACATCTTATTAGCGCTCGGCAACAGAGGCATTCTCATTGTGTACGTTGATGGGACAGCGAAGTCTTTGCACCCATCAGATACGGAACATTTTTTACATTTGAACTTTGTTTCTTTCTTTAACTAACGTTGAAAGTAATAACCAGTAATCGCTACAAACTACTATTTTTCTTAATTTTAATTTTTTTAGCACTACTCACTACACTACTTCGTTTAAAAAGTAGCGCACTACACTACAAACTACGGAAAAAAGTAGCGACTACAGTAGTTTCGCTACTTGTGGCGCACTACTTCCGACCACTGCTTGAAATATAGATATACATTTTGAGTTATATCTGTAGAATTCGTTTCATAAATTAATCACTTTTATGAGACTCGTTTTCTTGAATATAATTTTGATTGTCAGATTAAAAGACGCTCAGAACCTTTCGCTTCTTCTTTATTGATGGAAATTGATTGAAATCGTACTCACTAACTACACTAATCTCATTGGCGGTATGCTATTTATAACTAGAAATAAAATGCGTCTAACTCTGCGTTGAACTAAAGGTAGAATTTCGCGAATGATCCCCTATACTGACCAAAGAATTTTTTTTCAATAATATATTGCTTATTAATATTAGTTATCGGGTAAAATTACGAATAATTTTTGCTTCATATATTTAGTTGAAAAAAAAGAACATAGTTAAAACAAAAACTAATAAAATCTAAATTTATTTGTATTTATTAATATATATATATATACAGTGGTGCCCAAAAGTGTGGACATTTTTTGAAACTTTCATGTTTTTCAACTTTGTGTGCTTGTAGAATATATTAATTTTCACTTAAATTCAAACGTTTATGCATCAAATTGAAGGTAATTTAATGAAGAATTTAATAATAAATGCAGTATTACAATATCTGCATTACAAAAAAAGTAATGCAACTAATAGTAAGATCTATCTTAGATTTGCAGTTTTTTAAAGTGATACTTACACAATCAATACTTAGTAGGATAACCCTTATTTTTTAAGACAGCTTCACAGCGTCTTTTCATCTAGTGAACGAGTATTTGGAGTTCATCTTTCGTAATCACATGGTGCCAAGAATCAATTATAGCTTCAATAAGTTGTCTTTTATTGGATGGACGTTTTTTTCGTACAAGAATTTTCAAACGTCGACGCAAATTTTCAAATGGATTGAGATCAGGGCTGTTTCCTGGCCATGGTAATGTATCTATGCCTTTATTTTGAAACCATGCTTTGTATACTTTTGCTGTGTGGCATGGAGCTGAATCCTGCTGAAAAATAAATGGTGCGTTGTTGGGGAAGAGATACCTGATGGATGGTATCGATTTTGGTTTCAGGACAGTTTCGATGTATTTTTTTTTTTGCATTCAGAATGCCATCAATCACTTGAATTCGGCCCACACCATCTGCAGACATACATGCCCAAATCATGACATTTGTTGGGTGTTTTGTAGTTGCTTCAATGTAATCAGGAAGAAGTGCTTCACCTACTCTACGTCTCACGTATTTTCTACCATTACTACCAAAGAGCGATATTTTACTCTCATCGCTCCAGATTACTTGCTTCCATTGATTTTCTGACCATTTAATGTGTTCTTTTGCCCACTTAACTCGTTTTTCGCGTTGCTTTTGATTTAAATATGGTTTTTTCCTTGGA